GCCTCCCCGCAGGCGGTGCCGCCGCCCGGCTCCCTGCCTGGGAGCTTGTGTGGAGACCGAGTGCGGGTTTGATGGCAGCCTTCAGCCACCTGGAGGCGGGTGGCAAAGGGGATGGAGTGGGGCTGTTCTCAGCGCTGGCAGGTGGCAGAACAAGGAGCCACCGTCTCAAGTTGTAGCAAGGGAGGTTTAGGTTGGCAAAACTTTCTTGCTAGGAGGGTGGTGAAGCGCTGGAACAGGTGACTTGAAGAGGTGGCGGCATCTCCATCCTGGGATGTTTTTAACACCAGGCTAGACAAAGACTTGGCTGGAATGAGATCATTGCGGATGGTCCCGCTTTGAGCGGGCGGCTGTCATAGATGACCTCCTGAGGTCCCTCCCAACCCTCATTTTCTATGATTGTAGGAAAGGAGTAACCGCTAACCAAGACAATGAAAGCCTCAGCTGGATATTTGGGCCAGGCCCTGATGGATTGAAGGGCGCCTTGGCTCTTCTCCCTCACTGGGAAGAAACAACTGTGATGCTGAGAGAGGGTTTCCTATGGTACGGGCGCTGCGGCCCCAATGCCAGACATCCATACATTTGCTAACTTCCCCGTGGTTTATTTATGCACCCTGAGAATGTGTTGCCATGCTCTGAAGAAAATCCAGCTATTTTAGCCCCTGAGCAGATTTGGGAGGAGTAGCTGTAGCTGCAGGTGGTCAAGAAGCAGGTTGGGTTGCTATTAACCCAAGCCCTGGTCAATGAGCAAGTAAAAGATATCACCAGTTTCGGGGTGATTCTTTTTTTTTTTTTTGTAGCCAAAATGTCTTCTGACTCCTAGAACCGTATGCCAACTTTCAGCTTGTCATTAATTAAAATGCCTGTTGGGTCTACCTTTATAAAATGATCATTTTTAAAACTAAATTACCACTTTAGTTTTAAGGAATTGTTGCGTATGTGACAAGCTAGTCACGACCAGTGTGCCTTGGCACCCTGAAGTGCCTGGAGAGCCTTTCAAGGGTCCCATGGAGTACCATACAATGTTAGCACAGTTAGGTGTGCAAACATGATTCATGAGGAAATGGTGGTGTTAAAAACATTCTGAGCAGTTGTGAACTTTGTGAGTTCTCTGTAGCAGCAGAATTGTTTTGTATTTTTCTGTAGTCAAAAAATGAGTGAAATTTAAGAACTGGCATTTTCTGAAGGGTGCTTTGAGTCTAAACAGATTGAGAGCGACTGAACTAGTATCTAATTCAATGAGAGAGATCCATTATTATTAAATAAGGTAACACGGGAATAATTTCTCTTAACTTTTAAGGCATAGTTGTTGTTGTTTTGTTTTTGGCATAAAGCTTTGAATTAAAAAACAAAATTAATGTTAGTAAGAACAATAAGTTTAGTAGCAGCATGTTCCCTATAAAACAGGACATTTTGCATGTGTGTATTCCAAATCCAGCTCAAAGGCTAATTGAAACTTTAAGCAGGGGACATCTGTACTATGGCTTGTCCAGTGGGGTCCTGATCCATAGCTGTGGTTCATAGGCCTTCCACAATACAGATAAATAAGAGTAGAAATACATTAGTGAATCTTGTACTTTAGGATTTGTTCCAGTTAATCTGTTGCAAAATAGCTGCAGCAGAAACTGTTGTGGCATGAGTTAGGCTAGCTTTTGGACATTCGGGACATGTCATAAGACTGTATACTGCTTTTATGATGCTTGCTAGTGAGTTAACACCTGAATAATATATCATGTTGAAACAACAAATATGGAACACAGTTTATAAATCAAGCCCAGTTTACAACTAAAGACATAATTTTCTTAAAATATGTATGTTCAGTCTCTGCTAACTTTTGATACCTGGAAGTGATGGCAAATACTTCCCTTTATGTGTACCATATGCATGTTTAAGGATTCCGTCACATTTGAAGCTAGATTAGTTGTTTGGGGTTTTTTTAATGAATGCTATGGCACTATTATTTTGCGAGATGTGATCGAAGCAAAATCAATGTAGTCTATATTTTAAAGACGGGTTGAAAGTCATTATGCTCCTGAATTCCCTGAATGTCCAAAGACTATTCAGCAACAAAGTAACTTGAGCAGACACATCTCCTGGCTCCTACCCTGACACACCCACGTGCCAGGTGTACCAGAAGGTCATTTTGTTCTTCCAGTACAACTAGAGAGTTCACAGTTTATATATTTATAGAGTTGGTATGTGGAAGCCACATCAGATGTCACAATCAGGACCTATATGTGTGCTGTATTGCACCTGTGGCTCTGAAAGGAGAAAATAAAATAAAATGAACTTGGCTGCATAATACCGCTGTTTATTTCAGTTGTTCTTCTGACACGTGTTGCTTTTATTGGTAAAGTATAATAGTAAACTACAGCTGCATTAAAAATAGCACCAAATGCTACTTTCACTTAGACCCATGACAGTCTGAGAGACAGGTGGTTGCATGGGTTTAAGCAGAATTTGGCCTTGTATTTAGATTTAAGTAGGAGAACGAAAAGAAATCTTGTAAAACTGCAAGTCCCAAATGAAGTGTCCTATAAGCTCAGATAAAAGATTAGTTTTGCTGCCAGTGACAAAGGATCTCTTGTTCAGTAGCTTCTACCAAAGGAAGTTTTGCACTTCCGTCATGCCAACTAAAACAAATACCTGACATGAGAACGAAACTATTGGGAAATGAAATTTGCCAAATAATTTACACAGATCCAGCTAAAAAGCTGCCTTTTAAATTACTAAACCATTGAATAAAATAAAATATAAATATTAGGTATATTTGTACATGGGCAGAGTTAGCTGCTCAACTCCACTGACTTCAGGAGAAATAGAGTACCATTAACTCCTTTTGTTGAGGAACTGGATAGAAAAAATTCTGCAGCTTTTGTCCATTAAGTATATACAGTGTTTTTTATATGTATGTCAAATAAGTTCATGCTTGCTTCATTGTATTGCATGATGCCGGTTGCATCATTCATTACCTGTTGCTTATATTATAGTAGTTATCTACTTCTGGTGTATGTGCACACTACTTAAGAGTCTGGAAACTCAGCCCCACTGCCTAGGTTATAATCAAAATGTATTCCTCGTTAAGTGTGTAGTTGGTGAAACTGATTAGGAGCTGTCAATTTGAAGGCTGCCATTAGGGCATAAGGTTCTCTGATGAACAAGATAATGAGCCTTAATGATGTGTAAAGAACTTAGGGTGGCTGTTCTTGTAATTAATTAGCATTGTTTATCTTGACTTCTGGTAATTTTATGCCCCAGGTAAATTCATAGTATTTTACAGTCCAAACATTATGTACTAAAAACTTTATGCATATGAAACTTTCCCAGTGACCAAATATTAAGGAGTAGTCAGTAAAGTTAATGGAGAAAGTGGGTTCAAACCCCAGGAGTGTTTCAACAGACACTTTTACATTTTTAAGAATTTACATGCTAAGGGGATGGGAGCAGTAGAAGTACCCGTCACTGCCATCTAAACTTCAAGTATCAGGCTTTGTTGGCTGGTTGGGACTAGAGGTCTGGAGTAGCTATGTTGGGGTTTCATGGTTGCCACTGTGATCTCCAGGGTTGACTAGACTTCTGATCATTTAAGAGTTTGTATTTCTATTTTTCTTTAAATATCAGGCAGTTGGCCTGATTGGGAGGAGTAGGAAAGTGGAACTCATGAGGAGCACTCATTAGCCCGGTCACATATTAATTGATCCATCCTACTAGAGTGATTTCTAATTATAAATATAATGCACAATTGTTCTCTCTTCTCCCTTGGTATTTTGTCAGTCTCGCCACGTGCAATTCCCCTGTCTGTTCATTCTACTCTAGGCTAGAATATTTCATATTTTATTGTGTGTTATTTTCCTAAGGTATGCAAAACCTGCCTCCAAAAGAACCTTGAGCACTCCCATGAAGGAAATACTTTTGAAAGGAGGTGCTCCGGAAATGTCCCTACATACAAAAATCTGAAATAAGTGGTGCCTTTTGGTAGGTAGTTTTAAACATGTGGGCAGGCTTGCTTGTTGATTTCTCTTTCTTGCTGTCTCATTTCCATTTAGGACTCTGAAAGCTGCATTGTATAGAATACTCAGTATTCAGACAGCTCTGCTTTTCCTGAGTCTTACATGAAAACAATCCAGCAAAAACAAAAATTCCTTTTTTCATTTTCAGTGGGCCTGCTAGGGTGGTCTTCTCCTAGAAGAGACTGGACTTTTCAGGGAAGCCAGCCTAGAGGTTGCCCTTGGATTTGGGATATGATTTGTATTTGGCATACAAATACACTTGGGATTTGTAGTTCTTTCTGTGTGCTTTATTTTAAGTTAAATTATGCCCATTTGCTGATGCAGTTTTGTTATTTCTGGTGACCTGGTGAATGTTGCTACTTTTGTGGAAGGTCCATGCAAAGCCTTGCACAATACAGAAGCCTCAGGACTGTTTTTTTTCATAGGAATGGAGTAGGGATGGGGCATGAACAATGTGTCCCTGGAAGCAGAAAGGGCTTGGATATTTGATGCATCAAAGATGTTGGCTCTATATGTGACTAGATACTCACCATGGCAGGGATACCACTGAAGGCAAACAGGGTTTGTATTAGCCAGGAATTCATAAGGGACAGCTGTTGCTTTTCTGGGCCTCAGTCTGTTAAGAGCTTGAGGTATTACAAGCACCAATCATACTCCACTGATCAAGGGTTCTGAAATGGATGGCTCTTTATTTCACTCTGAAATGTGATGCAAGAGAATTCTCACAAGCAAATTACAATATGGACTTTTTGGGATGTTTAACAGAATTAAGAAAATCTGCATCAAGTAAATCTTACCTGATCAACTATCCAACAAAAGGTGACTAATAGTAAGTATTATTTTTCATAGAATTAATGACTGGCTTGAATGTTTGACATACTTTTCAAACAGGTGTCTAAAAGAACTAGGAATCGCAAGATAAAAATGTGTGCAGCACCCTGCACAAAAACCCATTGGCGATGCGTAGGGGGTGCACACGGGTGTACGTGTACCCCCTGAGATTGGCGGTGCAGCCTCTAAGAGAAGCGCCGCTGACATTGCTGGTGGTGTCTGCAGGTAGTCGTCGATTGCTAGCTGGCACTCACCACCACTCCCTGCTGCTGCTGACTCCGCTGTGGTCGCCTGCAGGAGCTCCCTGCTCACCACTGCCACATGCTGGCAGTCACCATGCCCCCAGCCTCTGGAGGCATGTGTCGTTTATGCAAAAACCCACATCAATTTAAAGAATGAGCACAAAACTAACAAAAAAAAATTTCATGAAGACGTTTCAACTTTGATTTTGTAATTAATAATATGCTACCCATCAGTGATGCATCACTAACTATATTAAAAACGGGTGATGGATATGAGGAAATCTATGGGGATTGCTTAATTTGAGCATGCCTGTTGTTTGGCTGCTAGAGAGTACTGTAGCATGTATTTTTAAATTGTTTTTAGAGATTATTGTAGTAAGGCTGATTTCACCAAGATGCCAAGAATTTCCATTATTGTGAATGGAAACTTAGGACCAGAGTCTGTTCCATGTATTATGTGTCTAAGTGGTACTTAGGCGTCTGAATGTCTAAGGATGATCCTATCCTATCCTGCTTGAGTCCATGAATAAAAGATAGGTGGGTCCTCCTCCTCTTCCTCATTCCCTTTTGTGACTTCATTTTAAGGCTAAGATGCCCAATAGGTGAATTAGGATCTTGCTCTTGCTTTTCCCAGCACTGAACCAGGTTCACAAATTTTAACCCTATTTTAGCACTTCCACTGTTCCTAGTATCTCCCATCCCAGCCTAATCTAAATTGAGAGCTCTAACTGACTTCTTGCTAGCCAAATGCAAAGATCCAGTGTTGCCTTTTTATCTGTTTAAGGAGGCAAAACTTATGAATAAAATAGGATATGTTCTATCAATTTTTTCTTTAGCTGCCTGAACTTTATTAATTAAAACCATTCCATTTTTGGCATTTAATATAAATGGACTCGGGCGATTTTGTTTTACGTTTGGAAAGGAAGTACAGCTCTAATGAATTAGCTTACTGTCTACTGTAATGGAACCTTTCTTCAGAAGAAATGTGAGCATCTTGCCAGCTATTCAGGATTCCCACTTGTTCTGGTGGCAGAACAAAAATAACCCCTTGAGCAAAATGTGAGGGTTTTTTCAGGATGGTAGGAATTTACAGCAATTGCAAGCTGCAAAAAGAGAGACTGTATTTGCCTATATACAAGTGTTTGCAAAGCTCATAATTGACCTTTCGCTTTAAATGTTTCTGTAATTCCCATGACTTCATTGTTATGAGTTTGAAGTAATTTCTGCCTGTTCTGGTGAATAACACTAATAGAGCTGAATAACTTATAATGTTTGAGACATTTGAAGACTCTGAAGATTTTTTTCATCCTTTTTATTTTTGGTAATAAGTAGTTAAGGAGGGGGAAATACCCTTGCTTCAGGCAAGTGGAGTGATGCTTAAAGGAGTGACTCTTCAGGGTGCTGGAGAACTGTGAGGTGCACAATATTAGCAATGCTGGGTGTCTAAACATCTACATGAATCACAAGATAAACCTAGAAATGTCAAATGGAATTGATAGTGTTAAAAATTTTCTGACTTGTTGTTGTCTTAGTTTTTTGCAACATAATAATTGCTCTATTATTTTTTTCAGTAGTCAAAGAACAAATGAAAGCTAAGAGCTAGTATTTTTTGAGGGGATGCCTTGAGTTTAAAAATGTTGATAACTACTCTTTTCAGGTTGTGCCAGTTTTCCAAGAACCCTCAACTCTCATCAGTTTCTTTAGGAGTTTGATAGTTGTTGCCCTGCAGCATGAGATTCACACCTTTAAAATATCCAGCATTTTTTGACATAGAATTGTGAAGATTCCTTTCTTCTCCCCCTTCTTTATATTCCATATCCCATGTTATAACTATGTTCCTTCCCTCCAAAGACTTGTGGGCTGGCTTTCTTTTAGATACCATTTGTCTGTCATGACCACCATGTATTCAGTAGAATTGCTTAAATGATTGAAGGGGTCCTCTTGAATGATTTGGCAGGCCCCCTTGTGGTCCCATTTTAATCCCAATGCAGAACAGGATTTTTTTTTTGGAAAGCAGCATATTTTTGATGGATAGGAAAACAGTTTTCTGCCCAACTGTCCTGGGACTTGTATCTGTGTGCCATAAGAAATGTTTTTTTAATAAATCCCCTTTGGGGTTTTTATAACTGGTTGCTCTAATTCCTTTAAATTGAATGATCCACCGATTACTAATAAATCATACTGGGCTAATCTTTTCCTGCAGTAAATTGTATATGTATGCAAATGCATAAAGGGATGAATTCAAAGATGAATTTATACTGGTATAACTCATATGGTAAGGAATTTTTAGTAAAAGTAAGAAACAGGAACATGTATATTTTAATATGGTTTTCCCCTAAGGCATTTTAAATAATACCTTTAGGTTCTGCACAAAAGTTATTGAGTTGCACCCATTTACTAGTACATAACTGAAATATTTCTCTCTTTCTGATCCAGATAGGCAGTGTCTAAGCTCCTTACTCGGGATCACACAAGAAATTGTAGCATGGGGTAGTTGGCTGTATTAGCCGTAAGTTGGACAGAAGGCAGGACAAGGTGGCACCTTAGGTTAAGTACAGATATTAAAAAAGCCCCTGGCAGAAGTGCTCTATCACACTTTACTTATAGCGCTGTAAGTAAGAGCTCAAGTGAACTGAATGGGTATGCACTGTTTGGTGGGGGAGAGGGCTTAGAGCCTGCCCATTGGGGGTGCTCCTGCATGCCTCCCAGGGGTCTGCCAGAGTGGCCCCTCTCTCCAGTCCTGTGACCTCTGCTTCCACCAGCTGGCAACTGTTGGCAGTAGCTAAGAGGGGAGGGCCTGCAGGGGAAAGAGGCTGGGTTCTGTGCCTCCACAGCCGCCCCAGCCAGGCCGTGGTGCACTGCAGGGCCAGGGCAGCTGTGAGGAGAGAGACCCCGCTCCCCACCACCCTCCTGGAAGCTGCAGCTCATATCTAACCACACAGGAGGCAGGGCTGGGATCAGAAGCTATCATTGACTTGGCAGCTGAACAGTGACAGCTGAGGGGGCAGGGCTGGCCTGGCACTCAGGCAGAGAAACAAGTTCTACCAGAGGCTAGAGCACAGCCCTGTGCAACACTGCCTGGGATGGCAGCGATCATGCTCTAAGTTAACCCTTGATGGGATCTGGCACAGATATTTGATAAAGCACTCCTAACAGAAAATGCTATAGTCTAATACCTCATCCACTGAGGGTTAACTTAAGAGTGTGATCCACCATTTTTAAAGCACTCTAAGAGCTGTGAATGTCTGTTCAGTTATGACTTTAGAGTCCTGTGTGCTTAAAGTGTGATAGATGTTACATCTGTACCTAGCCTTAGAGACTGATTCAGAAATCCTAAATAAAATGTGTGATGGCCTGTTTCATTAGATGCTATGAATTTTGATAGAGCTAAGTACCAAGCAGCAATCTGTTCCTTTTAAAAGGACATCCTCCCTCCCTTTTTCATGCAGTGGGGCAGATTCATGAATGTTGTATCTCACTCTGTTTTCTCTTAGTATTGTGTGTGCTTCCTGCCTACTTCTGGTTTAACAATAAAATAGTGAATATTCTAAAATGTGTAGTAGTTCTAGTATCAGACAGAAATTTCTTTCCTTCATTTTTTGTGAGAATGGTTGATGTTACTGGCAACAGTCATGAGAATAAATGTGTATTTTCTAATTATTTGTTTTCTATTACCTTGGCAATTTCAGATGTAATGCTGTATTGAAGAGTTGACATCCCCATAATATGTTGCTTGCTTTTTTTCCCCTCATTTTTTTTCCTCTCATTTTTCCTTTCATTTTTGCAGAGGGAAGTTTTGTAAAAGATTATCCTTTTGACTTAAAAGGGTACACTACACACTGAGCCACTATGGAGACAAAATTCATGAGATCATTTTAGAAAAGGAGGATGAGAAAATGAACTCAAGTAACAGAATGTCTTTATTTTTTTTATTCCTGTACTCAAATCAAATTATAGACAACTTCTAACAGGACTAAAGTATTCATAATTATAACCTGTACTTCAATATTGTTCTTCAATTATATGTTATGACAATAAAACTGAGGCTTGCATACCCAATAACTTTAACAGATCTCTAATTAAAAGAGCAGAGACCGAAATAAGAGTGGGGGGAAAAGAGTACAGTTCTGAAAACATGAGATGATATCCTGTCTTTTTACATAATAGTTAAAAGTACATCCGTCCCTCACCACAAGATATATCTTGTAACTACTATCTGTTAGGCTGAATTAGGTAGGAGGCATCAAGTCTATCTATGTGGTTTAATTGAGATTGGTTTAATTCCTGTTTTTAGCTCCTTAGTTTGACAGGGTGGAGGGCCTTGTCACACATTGATTTTAGGCAGCTTCTGGACCTTTTAGCCCCTAGATTGTTCACAAAGTAGCACCTGAAACTGGTTTTAAGCACACGTAAAGCCATCTAAAGTTATACACTACAGAGCAGACATCTCTGATCTGTGTTACCTAGCTCATGTTCTATTAATATGTAGCCACTCCCCACACATAAGCCACCCATGTTTCAGCACTCCATCCTCCCAGGATACAGTGTCACCTCCCCAACCCATGGGCGACTGGTGCCTCCTGAGTCTGGGGCTGATTGCCAACCCTGGAAACGCCAGGTGACAAAACCAGAAGTGACGGCAGCAAAACCAGAAGTGCAGCCGGCACTTCTCTAGATGCCTCCCACTCCCCGACCAGTGAGGGCCAACCTCAGGGGAGACATGTGCTCCCTCTGTACATTTCCTATGCCCTACCGTCCTGTGTGGACAAACTTTCCACCCCCTGAAATCTACTGCCCAGGGGGCAGTTCTGGCACCAAGCCAACTCCCCCTCCCACCTCCATGGCTAGGGACAGAAGTTATACATAAGCTGGTTTAAGTGATGAGAAACTAATTTAAATCTGTAATAGAATAGAAGTTCAGTGCACATAAACCATTTTCAAAGTGTCTGAAACGGGTTTCAAATAAGCCTGGTTGAATGTAGTATCAGACTTAACTGATTTTGGTAAAACTGGTTTATGAAACTTCTGTCCTGGACCCCTTTCTGGTTCAAGTTAAATGATTTTCCCTGAGCCTGAGAGAGGGTGCGTGTGCCTAAAAGCTTGCAGAAAAAGATAATTTATTTTTTTTATTTCTTAGTTGGTTTAATAAAAGGTATCATCTCTGAACCAACAGTTCTAGAGTTTTGCATTTCTTTTTGTCTCAGACCAACACGGCTACCAAATACATCCCTGAATCAGAGTCCCTCAGCATTTTTCAGCCCTGAGCTGTGTTGTGCTGTCTGCTCCAGAGAACAGGGCTGACTTTGCCCCTCTGCTCCCTAAGTGGAGCAGTGAGGGCTGGCACAGTGTCCAACCCCCCCCCCCGCCCTGCTCCCGGGCAAACCTTTGCTGGGTTCCGGGGCCAGGGAGGGGGGTTAAATTCCCCTCCCCAAGTATGGAGCTGGCCTTCCCTGCTTATTGCTGGTTGCAACTGTGGACTACAAATCCCAGAGGCACCTGGAAGCAGGAAGAGGAAGTGATGAACAACACTGCAGAGTGCTGCTGCTGTGATTGTGGACTGCAAATCCTAGAAACCTCAGGGACAGCAGGAAGAGGAAACGAACCCATAGCCCATCCTGGCTGCATTTCCTGAATCAAAAGTGAATGGACTTACTTGCCTAGGGGTGTGACCTTCCCATCCCCAGGAGTGCAATGCCACACAAACAGCCTTTAGAGTACATGGCAGCTATCCAGGTTGCAGGGCACAGACAGGTCCAAGAGTGGGGTCAAGGAAAGGTGCAGGGGAGCAAGGTAGGGGGATTGATTGAGTCCCCATGAGCTGGGGCTTCTGTCCTTGGGCAGTAGGTTCCCCAAAAGTACCTTCCCTCTCCACTCCTACTTTCTAGCCACCCTGGGAAAAATGACTAGCACACCCCACCCCAATCTCAAATCACTATTTATTAAAACATAATACTTTCTTTAATGTACTTTATTTCTTTTTAAATGTTTTTTACTTCCTTTTATTTTATCCTTCAGCTGACTTCATTCATTTCACCACTCTT